CCATTACTCTGATCGGTTGATCACTCTGATCCTCTTATGTTATCGCCCTCTTCCTGCCAGTTCTAAATGACACTAACTTAAATGGAAGCTTGATTGTTGCAGGCTGTGGTCCAGCTGGATCTGGAGGCCGTGGACGTGACCACTTGCTGGTAGAGCTAGTTATTAAACACTCACGGTGTGTGTGCATGTGTGTGTGTGTGTGTGTGTGAGTGTGTTCTTATTGACCTTCTATAGAAATCAGGTCCAGCGTAAGGTCTGAGTTTATATCAGAGCTCACAGGAACAATGAGCACATATATAATGAAGAGAACATTATGTTAAGAACAAGAGATATTCATACTCCTCTTCACAACTACGTGAACATGTTAGATTTTCCATTTCACAGACCTGATCTAAACCAAAACCTAATCTACAGCATGAAGAAATTTAGTCACGAGAATTAGCTATAACGAGCTAGAAACAATTCTATCAAAAAAAGCCAGAAATTAGCCACATATATATATATATATATACTGTAGAAGTTCGTCTATACAATAAACAACATAAATAACAACACAATTGCAAGGAAATGGTTATAAACAAAAAATATAGATAGAAAAACTTGGTAGATCAGGTAAAACAGCTTAGTTTATCTAAAAGTTAGGGTCAAACGTTGGCTAAAGTATGTCAAATTTAAGTGACCAGAAATTTTATATAGGGTAGTGAAAAAATTTTGCTATCTCAAAGCTGTGACTAAAACTAGATGAAACTGCTATTCATTAGCAAGAATGGTAAAAGGTAACTAATAACTAAGTAACTTAAAGCTACCTTGAAGCTAACCCCAAACAAATCAACGCTAGAAACATTCCAAAAGAAATATATTTGACCAAAAACAATAAATCAACTGAAGGTTAGCAAACAACTGCTAAAAGTAGACCACATGTGGTTAAAGGTAAATTAAAAACAGCTAAGGTTAAAACACAACATTAAAAGAAATTATGAAATAAGAAATAATTGTAAAATCGAGTGAAAACATTGAAATATTTTTCAGAAAATAACTGACGTTAAAGTCACGTCCATCTGCTAATTAGGCAGCGTTATGTTATGTAATCAAGGGAATTGACATGTTGTGACAAAAGCACAGCTCCTGGTTCTACTCCACCTGTGGTTCTTGTCCTCCATCTGTAGTGTGTAGACCACGTCGTCAGCCAGCAGGGCCCTCGTGTGGCTTAAGTTCTCACCCCACTTCAGCTTCAGGCTTTGGGGTCCGGCCGCCGAGCACTCCAGAGGGGGTGGAGCCGGAGGGAGGGGTCGCGTCCTCGCCAGCAAGGGTGGACTGATGGGACTGGAGCCAATGGCATTCAGCGCCTGGATCTGCACACTGCAAACCACCAAGACAACAGTTGTTTGTTTGATATCAAATATTTCACCTCCACTTTTCCTTAACTGACGCCTGCTGCTAAAATGTTTTGGTGAATGTTTATGGAAAAGGCACAGCGTGACCTGACGTCCAATTTAGTCGGCTCAGTGACTACAAATGACTAAAATGACAGTAGAACACCTCGGAAACGTATGCACTGTGTTATTCTGACGGTGTTTGCACTGCTATTTTTTCTGGTAATGGGTTCTTTTTGTCACAAAGAGGCTGAACTGGTGCATTTGCAGTGACCCTGGAACCATTCTCACATTGTTTTTTCTACCATTAGAAATTACACAATCGTACACAATTACACAATCACACTTTCCAACTCAAGGATTTCATGATCAAATGTGTCTATCTTCTCCTAAAACAGAGTAAAATAGAATAGAATAGAACAGGACAGAGTAGAATAAGACATAGAATAGAACAGCCTTTATAGTCATAGAGAAGTGGAGAAGCAGATTAATAAGAAATTGACAAAGAAGCTCCAACAGTTGAACATAAAACTTTATAATAACACTAAAAGATATTGTGATAATGAAGAGTTAACCTTGAATGGCAGTTAACAACAATCAGCTGAAAGACAATGCTGAAAATGGCAGAAAGTTGGAAAACCTGGAAAAACAAATAAAATGTATAAGTAGAATTTACATGTAGCTAAAAACTTGACCAGATAAACATCCATAGCTTAGAGTTAGCTAGAGGCTAATCCAAAAGCCTTATTATAGTTGTTTAGCATAATTTGAATAAAAAAGGAAGTTTAGACTTAGCAGCTTCGACTTTAGGCTTTTACTAGAAAAAAGTTAATCTTCTGTGTTTTGGTGTTTTAAAATAAAGTCATTTCATAAAGGTTAAAGACACGTAGAGTTAATCAGCTAAGCTAATTAGCCGCTACAGAGTCGTGCTAATTCAGATTCTCCGCTGCGTTGTACCGTCTCCAGAGGAGACGGCATTTGTTCTGACCTTTAGGAAATCCTCTGCAACCTTTTCCCATAATTCATTTTGGCTGAGTAAAGGCAGAGCTCACGATCAGCGTGTATGTGTGTGTGTTTCTGGTCAAGGTATAATTGTGGGGACATTAAAAACACAGCTGCTGTGGGGACGATTTCTCGTTTTGACATTTTTGAGGTTCAAGATTAACATTGGACAAGATTAGAGTTAGGATGAGGATTAGGATTATTAACGTTTTGGGGTGCACAAAACACCAAACGAGTGTGTGCACATGCTGGTGTGTGTGTGTAACCTCATTATATCATGTTCTATTCTTCTCTGAGGTTCTGAACACAGGATCATCTCTGTGATTAAACTGCATACAAAAAATATCTGTCAGAATATTATTTATCCAGCACTTTTGAGGTCCGTTTTCAGCCTCTTCTGGAACTTTCCAGCTTTGACACTAATTTTCTCTTTCACTTGACATTCAATTTTGATAGTCTTTGTGTGACACTATTCCAATATATTTAATTAAATCCACATAATTTTTTGCCCTTAAAAAAGAAAAAAATACTATGTATTATGTTATTATGTTTTCATTATTTATAGTCTATTTGGACAGAAAGTGAAGGACAGAAAGTGTTTGGACCAAATCATAAATATTCAATATGATTCAGTTTTATAAGAGTGTTGAAGGACAGAAAGTGAAGAACAGAAAGTGTTTGGACCAAATCATAAAAAGTAAATTGAAAATAAATAAATAAATAAAAGGAAACACACAGATTGCACATGATGATAAAACGTCGCATTCTTTTCTACTTGAGAACGATATGACACGGAACGAATAAACGAAAAACATAATTTAACGTCGTGTAAATACCTCATTGAATTAACGGACACACACACACACACACACACACACACACAGGCACCTTTTAGCCATTATGTAAGAGGGCGAAGTGACACAGGGATAAAAACAAGCGGTGAATGAAAACAAAGGTGTGTGTGTGTGTGTGTGTGTGCGTGTCGTGTCACTTCATCTCACACAGCTGCTGCTTTCAGAGAACTACTACACACAGATAGTGAATTGTGTACAGAGACAAAGATTAGCCAATGATTAAGTAAACACTCTAGTTGTTTACTGCGGGCTGTGCTGAAAGCATCTTCTTTTAGATATAGAGTGAGTGAGTGAGTGAGTGTGTGTGTGTGTGTGTGTGCTGTATAAATCACACAAACGTCACACAAGCCAAAGATCCCAGCATATGGTCAGATTTTATCAGTGAGTTTGGCACAAAATTGTCCTTGAAATGTCTGACGTGGTCAAGCTAACCTGCTGTAGCACACGAGGGCTAATTCAGGTGTATGCGTTTATCCATCAAATGTGAATTGTTTACAACTAACGTAATAGTCAAAAACATACAATAGGTAATTGAAGGTAAAGCTAAATACAGCTTAAAAACAATTAGGCAAAAATTAGGCCAAAACATAGCTGAAAATCTGGCAAGATCGCTGCGTTCCAGCACAAAAGGTTTAGGCTAGACGTTCTTGAAGCTAACCGACAACCTCATGGCAGCAACAATCAGCAACTAGTAGCTTAAAGCTTAGCCACAACCAATGTGGCAAATATAACTTTAAGATAAGACAAGGTGGCTAAGCTAATTGGCTAAAAAATGTTGCCAATAGAAAGATTCTTCAGTTTTAAAAACCCTTAGTATGTGAAAAATAGACAAGTCAGCCGACAAAGGCCAAACATTAGCTATGATATATATATATCTTACAGTTAGCCCACACCAAGGGCAAAAAAAAAAAAATATGGCTAACATGTAGATAAAGTGCGCCACACAAATGGATTACGTCTTCACAAAACAGACAGTTTTAAAAACCCTTAGTATGTGAAAAATAGACAAGTCAGCCGACAAAGGCCAAACATTAGCTATGATATATATATATCTTACAGTTAGCCCACACCAAGGGCAAAAAAAAAAAAATATGGCTAACATGTAGATAAAGTGCGCCACCCAAATGGATTACGTCTTCACAAAACAGCTAAAAATGAGCTGAAACTAAAGAAGGAGGATCATTGTTAGCACAAAAGGAAGAGAAAGGTTAACAGAAATGACTTCATCCTAAACCAGGGGACATTTTAAACCTGACAGAAAGTATTTACTCACTAACATTTTGTAATTTTAACACACTTTTCAAACGTTGTCCAATATCCTGAGTGGACTATGGATATGAGCTGAGACTTAGACTCTTCTCTCTTAGACTTTCCAGTACCTGTACTCTGTGTCTGGCTGCAGGCCTGTGATAAGGTGACTCGTCACTGACTCCAAATTGATGGTCTGGTCGTCCAGGGTGATGACGTAGGAGCTGATGTCCGCCCCATTGCTGTTTGGCTCCTCCCACTTCAGGAATAGGCAGGTAGAGGGGGAGTGACCCAACTCCGAGGATGATGGGACGTCAAGGAAGATGAGGGATGTGATCTGGTCAGGGGTGGTCGCAGGTGTCTGGAAACTCAGCTGCAGGCTGTAGGGACCGGCACCGGCCTGGTTCACCGCCTGGAATGGAGACGGGAAAGGAAGATAAGAGAGGTCAGAGGGAAAAACAAACATTTGGAGGAAACTAAACCATCTACATGCCTTCAGGTCAACGACAGGAAGAGTAATGGCTGCGTTATAATTCAAATTTATAGTCAAGGGTCAAGAGTTTTTGTCAAGGCTCTAAAAGCCAAGACGTCATCCTTTAAACTGTTCTGGGAAAACAAATATGTGTTTGGACTTTTGACGGGACAGGTGAAGAGGTCACACAGAGTTTAACACTGATCGATTCTTCTTGTTCTCTTGTCTGAACACACACACACACACACACACACACACACACACACACAGAAATATTGATTGAGACGTTACGGTGACCCTGTTCTGCCCCTTAAACTTCATAAAACAAAAAGACAGGAGACATGTTATTGGATTCATATCTGACTGAACATCGACAGAAAAACGAACGACAGAGGACCTCTGTGTGTGTGTGTGTGTGTGTGTGTGGGTGTGTGTGTGTTTAAAAGAATGAATTACAAAGAGGAAGGTGAAGACAGTGATACATTGCTGGGCTGTGATGGACTAACATCCTGTTAGTTCTGGACCAGACCTTGGCCATAGCTACTGGACCAAAGGTCATGAAACCATGTGAGGGTTTGAGCAAAAAAACATGACTGTAAATGAACTAGGAAATGTGAGCGTGAATGTGAAGATTGTTGTGAATTCTGAGTGAGTGTTATGGTGAACATGAGTGAAGCTTGGGTGTCAGTGTGAACGTAACTTGTACGATGAGTTTGACTGGGTGTGAAACATAAATGTTACGAACTGTAAGAGCGTGAATGTGATCGTGAATTCAAATTAAAACAAAACGCATAAAAGCGAGCGTTAAAGTGAATGTGATCGTGGTGTGAAACGTACATATCAACATAAATGTGGGTGTGAGTGTGAGCATGGACATGGATGTTCTGTTAGCGCCCTACCTGTAGTCTGCAGCAGTAAGCTGTCGCAGGCGTCAGGTCTGACAGTTCACACTGAGTGGCTGATCCACAGTAGATAATCTCCATGGGCTCTTCTTCTCTCGCCCACTCCAGACGATACTCAGAGATGTCTGTACCCGAACCCTCGGGACTCTGCAACAACACACACAGACACACACTTACCTCAGCTTCAGCTTTGAATTACAATTGTGGTAGAAATACTACGGAGTACGAACCGAGTACTGGTTTGTGTTTATTCCAAACGATCATGGGCTAAACTTGAAGTGTGTTTGTTACTTATCCATGAAAATGTTCATTGAATGTCTATACCAGACGTAGGCAAATTGTTTGACTTGCAGGCCAAAATTTGTCCTAAAATTTGACAGTGGGGCCGGGTGAGAAGCAGATGGATAGAGCGTTGGTGTGAACTAAGATAAATGTCATGTAAATGTCATGCATTAAGGGTAAATGCTAAAATGCTCTTATCATTTTCTATGCCATCTATTGGGGAAACGTGGGTAAAGTAAATGATAAATATGGATATAGATAAATTATATCATTTGGAAAAGTTTGGCGGGCCGGATTAGAAAGCTAAACGGGCCGCATCCGGCCCCCGGGCCTTAGTTTGCCCATGCCTGGTCTATACAGATGCTTCCATACATGTCCATCTGTGTGTGTCGTCCTACTTTTTTTTTTTTTTCTCACCTCCCAGTTAAGCGTTACGCATGTGTTGTTGGTCAGAGTGATGAGTGGCGCCCCACACTGGCCGGGAGGTCCAGCTGCTGTCGTCACCTCCGTGGGGTGAGAGTACGCTCCAAACTGCAGCAGATAAACAGGTCAGTATACACACACACACACACACACGCATATGTCTGAGAGTTTGTAAGAGTTATTTTGGTTTTCCCAGCATGCCTCTGAGTGTGCCGACTGAGTTTGTGCTAATTCTCCAGGGTGAGTGTCTGAGAGGATGATCAGACCAATCTGCTGTTAGCACCAGTCTATCAGACTCTCTCTAACACCAGGTCTGGTCAAAGCCACTGACTGCTGTGTGTTCAGGTGAAGGTGAATGTTATTGTCTCTATGATGACAGTGTGAAAAACTGTCAGCATTTTTATGCTCCACCATGCTTTAAAAAAAACTTAACTTTTAGCTACTGTGCTAAGCTAATAGATGGTTAACTTTTTTTCAAGTATGTATTCTAGTAAATAATTTTGGCATTTGGAGATTATGCTAACTCGATATGTGTGTAAATGTGTGTGTAGATCCATTTCTCACCCCAGCCTCGTTGCTGGCCCGCAGTCTAAAGCTGTACGTGGCACCAGGTAACAGGCTGCCCACCGTACACTGCAACTCCGTCCCTTGATACACCTCTGAAGGTGTGGCATCGCCCTCGCTCATCTCCAGACTGAACACACACTCCTCGCTTTCTCCTTCTGTGACAAGAGAGTCTGAGAAAACAGACCAAGACAAAATCAGAGGCTAAGGTCTAAACGAGCAGACATTTATCTCAAAATTCTGTCATTTAGAGAAGTAATAATATTCACAATCACAATTTGATAATTTTCTGACTTTTTAAGATTGATGTGATTTAGGGTCAGAAAACATTTGCAATGTTTGTTCCTTAATTTCTTTTAAAAAAAAAGTCAAACTTTTTTTTCAGAATTCATAGAAATTCCACAGAGCATTTTAAAACTTTTTTGACACAATTATATATATTCTTATACTTAAAAACTTTGAAACTGAACTATTGTTAAACAAATATATTCTTTAAAAATGAGCCACAATTTGGCCCTTGAACAAACTTTGGGCAAACTTTTAGGATTTGTTTTCTTATATACCTGCAAAACCATACATATAAAATAATCCACGTGTAAATAATATTAAAATAATAGTACTTTTTTAAATTGGTCAAATATAGCTCAAATATAGCTAGCTCAGATTAAAGATTACTCAACCATCTCTAGGCAAGTTTCATTAGATTCTGGGACAAAAAAACATTAGAGGAAAGTCCTCTAAAAGATCTGTCTCTGACCTTCATCCAGTAATTGCTGCAACGCTGGCTGATTTAAACTGATTAGAGCTGTTTAGGGTTCAGCCGTTCAGATGTATTAAACATTTTAAAAACAGCTTTCCCACTGAGTGATTATGCCTGCCAACAAATGAGTGCACTAATCAGCAACAATAACACAGCATCAGGAGAGTGTGGTCAGATATGAGGAGCATTATGGCACTTTACACTCCACATTAAAGTTCTATTATGGACTGGGATTGAGTTAAAAATAATGAAACGCCAGTGTTTTTTTTGGCCTGTTCCTCCGCATTCAAATCCATAACCTTCAGAAATAAAACTTATATCATTTGGATACGTGTTTTGTCTGCACTCACCCCATTCTAGTTGTACTTCCTTGTGCTTGGCTTTACCCACAATCCTGGGCGGCTGGCAGGGACCAGGTGGCACACTTAGTGTACGAACCGGAACACTTACAGTGCACTTAAGGAGAGGAGGAGAGAAAACAGGTGAAAATGTAGTTTATTATGCATGAGTGTGTGTGTGTGTGTGTGTGTGTATGCTCATGTATGTGTGTGTCTAATGCTTCAGGGATGATTCGTTACTAAACTAGGACTGTGTTAAGGGTAAAAAAGAAAACAAAACATTTTCACTTCCATCTTAAAATACTAATATAAAAGAAATATTGTAATATTTGATAAGCAGCATCGACTCTGCAGAAAAAGTATTTTTTAAATTTGATGTTAAGAAGACGTTGCCTTCATAAATAAATACAAATTGTTTGTATAACAAACTAAAAAAAAAAACTAATAAATCATTGGATAAGTGTTTTTGTCTGCACTCAGAAGTCATTTGACTAAATAATAAAAATATTCAAACATTTTCCCTGCAATAGCCTAAATTGACAAACCACCTAGCAAAAATATCTTTTATTTATTATTTAAAAAACCCCCAAAACATTTAGCCAGAAGATAAACATAATCACAGACACGATATATCAAAAAAGCTAGGCAAACCTGCTAAATATAACAAAAAACTAAACCGTTGTGTCAAAAATGCTAACGGTTGGTTAAAAAGGTAAATAAACTTGAGAAATAAAACAATAAATGCATAAAAAGTTAAACTTCAGCTCATATATCTTTGTAAAGGAAACATAAATACCTGAAAACTGAAGTAAAAAAAGTTAGCATAAAAAGCTAAAAACTGACAAAGAAAGCAGAATAGGTGAGCCAAAGAAGTTAGCTTAAATTTAGCCTAGCAGTAGCTTTGTTGGCTTTTTTCCTACAGTATATAACAAAATGCTAAGCTTCGCAAATATCTGGCATAACTGGGGCAAAAAACTGTACTTAAATTGAATACATGAGCCAAATACAGCCTTTTAGCATTTTAGCATTAAACTTCAAGTGAAACTTTAAGAACCGAGCCAAGCTCTGCCTGTTTTATACTATTTCTATTCTTAGACGTTTGTTAAAATGTACGTGTTTCCTTTTTAGAGCTGTATATTTTTTTAGAGTGTACTCTACCTGGCTGTGCCCCCCTGTGGTGATGCTGCACACACGTAGGCGGTAGAAAGTTCCAGGCAACAGACTGTCACACTTGCATTCTGTGGCAGGACCACTGTAGGCCACCTCCCACTGGCTCCCTGATAAACAACAGTAAATACATTGTTAACAAGCACTTACACACACACACACACTCCACCCCTGGTGTTCAGCATACATTATGTCCAAGCCTATACTTACAAACATGTATATTTACAGCTAGCCTTATTTATTTCCCAGAAGCCCAGTTCTGTTGACCTGATTAACGCCTGCTGAGAACAATGTGTTGTTCTGTCCTGCAGACAAATTACATCAGCAGGTGAAAGTGGCTCTTGTTTATGTTAATGAACCGGGTTGCCGCAACACCACGGTGTTGATATCGCAGTTATGTAATGCCGTGGATCATGTGCGCATTGAGTCTTTGACCACACCTGAGTTTTCATGGTTAACCCAGAAAAGGTTCAAACAAGGCTCAGTTACACAGATAAGAAAAAAAAAGTTTTGGATTTTAACAGGTCGTGGTATAATCTATTATAATTATCAAAATTTTGCTAAATGACTTTCTACTGCATTTCCAATAACAACTCCCCAAAATAAAACACTGATAAAATGAGTCACGCTCATTTCACAACATTCTGGCGGCGGTGAGTAGGTAAAGGAAAAATGGCCACAGGAGTAGGAGGAGACAACTCATGGATAATGGAGAAGACAATCATTACGGCTGAACACGATAAAAAGCCTGGAGCTTGTTTTCGTCCGCCTACCAGTCAATTTACAGGAGATAAGGTCACAGCGTCATGTTCCATTTCTGTCACTGAATATTTGTGGCAGAGAAAATGAATCTGGCAGCGTTCAGTAAAACTGACCTTTGACTGTTTAAAATGTCACCACTTCAGGTTACTGTGCTATACAGATGGTTTTTTTCTAAAAAAAAAAAAGTTAATTTTCCCATTTTCTGGAGTATCTTTTAGATATAAATATTTAAATATTTTCAGCTAACACTTGGCTAATCATGGTATTTCTCCACTGTGGGATTAAAAAAAGTCAATCTTAATCTCATCCAATCTATACTAATCTAATCTAATCTGAACTATACCAATCTATACTAATCTGATCTAAACTAATTTAATCTAAACTATACTAATCTAATCTAATCTTATCTAATATATAGTACATTAGTCTAATCTGTAGTAATCTAGTCTAATCTAATCTAAACCGGTCTAATATATAGTAATCTAGTCTAATCTAAAGTAATCTAGTCTAATCTAATCTAAACCAAAATGTTTGTTGGCAAGTTGTTAACTTTTGTTCAGTGTCCTTTGAGCTCTTTCATCCTGTCTAGCTACTTTGTGGATTATTAAATCATTTTACCCTGTATTTATGGACCACGTGTGTATTTATCAGTCAGACTTACGTACTCATTTTATCCAACACCAAATGTTGTGTATAAATGTATGAACAAAAAAAGATTTAATTTACTGTCTGCATTTATATGCATCAACTCAAACAACTCTGTCTGGTAAACTGAAGCCGACAGAGTATGTGAGGTAAATAGAATCATTAGGAGAGTGAACATAATGGGGAAAACACACATGGTACAATACAGAGGTTTGTCCTCTGACAAGCATATAAAATAACAGACTGTAGGGAATGGATGGGGGGAAACAAAACCCGTTTCACCTTCAGTGCAGCCCTCTGAGGTCTCCAGCAGGTACGTCAGAGCGTCTGAGCCTCCATTGTCCTGTGGAGGATCTGTCGGAGAAATGAACGCTTGAATTTTTTCCATCAGTTTTGGAACAAAAGCAAATCAATAGGGGCTGGAAATTAATTTGATACAAATGAATCAAGGTAAAGTGATAAGACAGAAAACTGACAACACAAAATACTACTGTTTATTTTTAGAGGAGTAAATCCAAATGTAATCGGTGGAAACCTTTTCAATGACATGTCATGACAGGTCATTATCTAAGTCAAAAGGTACTCAGACAGACCCTTTAAATTCTCAAGGTCTCTTCAACAGCTTTGACAAGCTTTTTTAATTACACAAAATTTCTCAAATTAAAATAAACTTTAAAATGATTGATTTTTATTCCTTCTTGCTTATTGCACCAGCATCTTACACTTTTCTGCCACTCCTGACTTCCTCCTTCCTGACATGTTACATACACAGCACACATACATATGCTTTGTTTAAGCCCACAAAACTTACTTTTGCATTTATATTTAAATTTGTACAGCTGTATTAATGACTGTACAAACATTCATTAGTTACAGAATTCCGACCTGTTTATCCGTATTATGGTCCTTACCCCATCTGACGGTGAATCCGTTGGGCGTGGCTGCGGTGACACAGGGAGTAGACGGTGGTCCGGGTTTGTCAGGGTTGGTGGTGCAGACCAGCACTTCACTGGGACTGCTTTTCCCCTCCATGTTTGACGCTATGAGCTGTAGTAGGAGGGAAAATGGTAGAAAGAAATGGACAAAACAATACAGAAGGAGTTATAGCACAGGTCGAAAAAAACAAAAACATCTTCCTGAAAAACAGGAGCCAGTATTTTCCTCAACTTCCATTTATTCTATCAGTTACAGAAACATGTGCAAACATCCACACGAAAACAGAGGGGGCGACATCGACAGAGTGATCAAGGTGTGAGCTGCAGTTTGAGGTGACTGTACTCAAACACACAGGCTTAAAAACACACACCTGCAAACACTAACAATGACTGCGCCGGGGGGAACATTGTGTTCCTCTGGGGCCTCGCCCCACAAGCTGCTATCACAGCTTTTAGAGGGAGATTCTCCGCTCTGTAAATGGCTGATAATTTGCCCAGCATTTCAATTGGAGCCAATTCACAGCTGGTAAAATACTGTATTCTTATCCAGTCAGGTGGATGTTAGTCCCTCAGACAAAAGCACCCTGTTTAAGGCTGGTATCCTTAGCAACAACGTCAAAAAAAAAAAAATCTGGTGAAGAGGAAAATTAAGAAGTGAAGGCACAAAGCTAGAAGAAGCCGTTGCTGATTGTGCAGACAACAGCAACTGATTCTACGAGAACTCCACAAACTCTAAGAAGAATCTTTTTACATCTTTCTAAAGATCCATCTGTCAGTCCATTATCTACCACTTAGTCCTTTGAAGGGATGTAAGGGGGGGTGGGGTGGAGTGGAGTGGGGCTGGAGTCAATCTCAGCCATCATCAGGCTAACCCTAATCCCCAAATGAGAATGTTTTTCAGCTGTAGTACCCAGAGGAGCACCACACACACCTGGGGGGAACATGAAAACTCCCTACAGGAAGTGTTCCAACAAGATGTTCTAACAACTTTCGGCCAACTTATTTTTTTAAGATATTTTATTTAAAAATATATTTTAAAATATCATAAACATAAAAAATATCATATCAGTTACATTTTGATAATTTTCTGGTATTCTGTAACAAGGTTTTCTAACAATCGGTGCTTTGACAATATAATTAATATGTAATAGAAATAAATGAAAAAAAACCCCATAATATTTTGCCTTTCGTATGGTTTAGTTTTCTAACTTCACCTTTTATATGTGTCTGCACTTTCATGTAGAAAAAAAGCTCTGAAGTTGTGCAATAATCTGAGCTGAACCTGGGTTTAAAATGGAAGCTTAAAGTATTCAAGTCAAAATAAAAAGACATCTGTATTGTACCACAACTCACCCTGAATTTATACTGTGTACTCCTCTTCAGGCCTTGTACAGTACAAGTCAAGTTTTCTCCAGTGTACTTTGGATGAAAGTCTGTTCCCTGTGGTGGAGACAAACAATATGATTTGAAAAGTACAGCCTGTGGATGTAACCAATGATGATGGCTCTGGTTGTAAAAGAGAAAAAATAAATTCCATTGCATTCTCAAACATATACTGTATGTATGAATATGTTGTTGTCGTGATGTACGTACGCTGTTGTCCTCCTGGATCTCAAGTGTGTATTTGAGCTGCTCCTCACTGGGACTGCCCTCCGGTCGCCCCCACTCCAAGGTCACCCAAGAGACTCCTGCCCTGACCAGCCGTGGTGCCAGAGGCAGAGGGGGCAGCGTTCCCATCGTATAAAACACCACCTCTGTGCTGAAGCCACTGCACAGAAGAAACACATTTTTTAAAAGTCAGTTCCTATTGTCATTTTAGGTACAAACAACTTTAGAGTTTCATAGAGCTAAGTTAGCACAAAGCAGCTTAAATTGCCAAAACATAACAAAAAATGTCCCCAGCCATGGCTAGGTTTATAAAATATAGTTTCAAAATGCCAGAGTGTAACAGAATTTTACCTTATACATAGGCAGATTAACCAAATATAGTTGTATTTTGACTTAGATAATTTAGAAGACCGCTACATATGTAGCTAGGTTTAACAATTAGCTTGATATCACTAAACACAAGTTCACCTAACAAAGGCAGGTAGCCACAACATCGCAAAAATAAAAGCTAAAAGCTAAAAAATCCTTATCAAAAAATATTATAAACTGACATTCACATTGTTACGCAAAACAAGACAACACCAAAGAAAACTTACACATTAACTTATTCCAGACACAGCTTGGAGTTTGCTGATATGTTACAAAGTAGTTAAATAAGTAATTAAATTAAAAATAGCTTCAAAATAAATACATGTTTTATTCACTAAAACATAACACAAACCTGTGTTTTATGTATGAGTAGAAATGTGATTGACCATTATCTGTATATGTATACACATATATACTGTCGGTGTTGGTGCATTCAGAAGCATAAATCTTCCAACCTTGTGCCAATGTCGTTGTGTGCAGCCACTCTGAACGTGTAGCCACAGGCTGGAAACAGTCGCGTCAGCTTACAGTGTCTCTGGCTCCCAAAGTAACATTCTCTGAAAACACTGTTCTTCTTTCCCTGCAAAGTGGATGAGGGAGTTAGAGAAGCTGTGAGGGTTTGGACATGATTTACTATAACTAAGTATTTGTAATGAGTGATTAACAAAGTCAGGTGTGTTTCAAGCTAAATGTTGTTTTTCAGATATCCTCGACGGTATGACAGCCAGAGTGATGCTCACCTCATCCCACTCCAGAAGGTAGTTTGTGATTTTGGATCCATTGTCCCCTGGAGGCTGTGGATGACAGGACCAGAAAAAACACAAGAGAAAAGAAGAGATTAGCTTTGGATAAAAGACAAAATAACCCGCTGTGGTTTTGTGCTAGCTTCATATCCTGTGTCTGGGTGACTTAGGTCTGCCTTCATCAGTGACAGTATGACTGTGGAGATAGGAATACTCCAGGTAACAAAAAAGGTAAAAAAGTGTCTTGATTATGTAGTGAATGAGTCAGAGGGGAAGACAAATGACATGACACAACAAAAATGATGCTAACTATTCATCAAACGGTTCCTTTTTTCCCTTCGGATGCTACATTTTAGACAAATGAAGACTATCTGAACGTCGGCCAGGGCAGTTTACAAGTATAACACTGAAAAGACATCTGTTGGTTCAAATATAGTCAAGTAAACAGAACATTATTATCAACAACAGGCTACCCCAGAAATGACAATGTTTACAAAATGTAGCCACATGTAGCTGAAGCAAAAATAAAAGCTAGACACAGTATAGCATAGTTGGCAATGCATAGTTGGAAATTCCCAAAACATTAAGCCAGATGTACAGTAGTTACAGTCACAATATGTAAACTATAGCTATGTAGTGCCTCAACAAAACTAAAAGCTAGTTTAGGTAGCTTAGTTAGCATAGATTAGCTCAAATTTGCCAAATCATAAAAGTTAGCTCAAGTGTAGCTTGGCTCACAAAAATATAGTTATGTACAGTACTAACGAAAAACAAAACCTAAGGTTAGTTCAGATATAGCTAAGTTAGCAAAGAATGGCTTAAAATGATCAAAACAACCCAAAAGAAAAAGTCAAATAGTTGTCAGAAGCTAACAACCCGTACCTTCCACTGTAGAGTCAGGGTGCTCTTGGTGCGATGGGAAAGTTTTGGGGTTAATGGAACGTCAGGAACGCTGCAGTGTGTGGTGAATGATCCAGCCTCTGAACATGACCCTCGAACTGAGTTGTACGTCGCTAAGACCCTGCAAAAAAACCCCAACATGAATACTTTTTTTTTCCAACGATTTTGTAGCGTAAAAGTGATAAATGATGAGTTTCTTGAAAAATCCTTACCGTACGTGGTAGTCTGTGGCGGGCCTTAAGTCTTTCAGGTGGTACTCTAACTCTTCACCGCTGATCACAAACACAAACGATCACAGAAAAATGAACAAACCTTTATTTAAACTAGGTGTCAGTATACAGTTCTCTCAGAGAGGGAAAGTTGAACAAAACTATAGCAAATAGTTAAACTTGGCCTCAAGTGGCTATTACTGAGGTACCACAGTTGGCCTCTAGGCCAGATTTTGAACAAGCTAATACACACTGCCTGAATATATTGTGGTATAATACTTTGCTTTGTTCCAAGTTACCTACCTGTATATGACGCGGTATTTTCCGTCCCGTCCCTTATCTGAGAGCGAAACCTCGTAGGAGCAGGAAACGGGCATCCCGTTACTGTGCCTGTTAACCAGCCCTACAGGGGGAGCCCAGGAGAGCCTTGCAGCCCGCGCTTGCACATTGGATACCTACAGAACACATATTTTAAAAAAGTGAATATTTAAGGTAAGTAAGAATCTTATTTGTGGTAATAAAAAAAGGTTTAGAAAAAGTGTCAGTGTCTGTCTCTCCGATGGCAGTAGAACACTGGAGGATAAAACACACACAAAGCTACAGAAATGTCTCTTCACAGTTGTGTGTTTGTGTGCTCAGCTGCACGTATGCACATGTTTGTGGGAATCTGGCCTGAAACACATGGCTGCTGAGCCAATCTACAAGTGATTTAGCGCCGTCTGCTGCAGTTATGCCATTTCAGGCTCCTCATGCAGCAGAGAGACGGCGAGTGTGCCTGCAGGGCGGCGCAAACCACAAACCGACCCAGACAGTCTTTGAGGAAGAACAGCAGACAGAAAGAGAAAGAGAGACAGAGTTTAAAAAACAGGGCGAGATGTTCCTTCATCACCTCATCCAGGATTATGAGAGTTTGATGATTATGATCGGAGCCGCCGTGCTGTTAGTCACAGTGTCCACATGTCTACAACCATCTTTGTCTTTGAAGGATTTTTAGACTCATTGAGTCATTAATGAGAATGCACATATTTCCCCAAATAAACGGAACAAATACAATAACAAACACTGTCACCTTGTCCACTTTAAATCAACCACTAGGGGCAGTATAGTGATGTAGTCATCAGCAATAATGCTGCTTTATGCATGTATATGCAAAATATATTCCAAAAGGGTTCCAGTTGGGGTTAAGTATTTAGGCCAGAGAAAAAAAATACTTGTTTTCAGATCCCTCCTATCATGTTTATTTTTGTCCTTTTCCCCCTTTTTGTAGAACTAGAAAGTCTGACCATAAAGTTTAAGAGTAATTTACCATCTCCTTTTTTTGTTTGGATGATTGTTAAATATGAATTGGACAACTGGGAAAAAGACTGTGCTACAAGGAGACACTTGTCCTGAGTCTCGACAGGTGTCTCCTGACCGACACTAGACAAATGTCATTTTCACATAGTAATAGGGAACACACGTATATTTTTAGACCTGGGATTTCAGTGGAGGTCAAGGTTCAGCTCATGCTGATAAATATTTAAACGCCAAAGTACAAGTTTTCAATACAACCTTGTGGTTTTGTCGTTGTGTTGTCAGAGGTGTACAGCCCTGTACTGCTGCTGCTGCTCAGTGCTGTAGTCTGCAGTGATGAACAACATTATCTCAGCTGTTCCTTATTTTGTGATTTTGTAAAAAGGTGTTTTCATTCATCCATCTTGGACCTAATCCCAGCAGTCCCTGGGCCATTACACCCGTACACCAGTACACCCATACACCAGTACACCAGTACACCTGTACACCAGTACACCAGTACACCCATACACCAGTACACCAGTACACCTGTACACCAGTACACCCGAACACCAGTACACCCGTACCCCAGTACACCAGTACACCCGAACACCAGTACACCCGTACACCCGTACACCCGTACACCAGTAGACCCGTACACCAGGACACCAGTACACCCGTACCCCAGTACACCAGTACACCCGTACACCGAACAGTAGGAACTCATACTGTACAATCAAGGTCTTGGTAATCATTTTGATTGTTCAACTGGAGGGCGACAGCAGTAACCACTCAGCCAGTAAGAATCCAGTTTTGCAAGATAAGATTTTGCTAAAAACAGCAACACGGAGAAGTCAGAGGGCATAAAAATGTATAAAAGTGTGTGCTTACCAATGCTGACCTGAATTTCCTCCTCCTCTATATTTAACTTTTCACTTTCAAGTAAAAGGATACATTAAAAGGATGGACACATTCAAAAAAAACTTTTTCAGTCGACAGAATTTGGTTGAAACAGTAAGAGACGCAGAAGGAAAGACGACGAAACGGGACAAAATGAAAGGAAGCAGAAAAGACAGAGGCACCAGAAGAGAAAATGAGAGAGTGGAGGAGTAAAAGATGAAAGACTCACTAAGAGCTTTGTCATTTTCTCTTTTAGACCCTGACATGAAGATTTGTGTCAACAGACTTCTGAGTAAAGGCCACTGAAAGTGAAAAGGCATTCGTTGTTGTACAACATCAATGATCTGCTTTCATTCAAATTTAGCCCACATTCTCCTGACCTTACTCTGTGGACCTGAAATGTATTTATTGTTTATTACACCAGTAATAAACAGTGAAAACATCAACATTCTATTCAAATTCGAAGCAACTTCTATTTATTTCTAAAACAGTGATGTTTTAGCTCAAGCTAATGTGGACATTTTATGTTTTTCTCCTCTTGTTCTACATTTTCCAGTTTCCATAGGAACCAGTTATAATTTGGATAAAAAATGTTTTAGAAATGTTTTGGTCTGTTTTTGTTTATATCTCTGGGCTAACTTAGTTTATCCTGTGGGTAAATTCTGTCATTCATTTTTAAGTCATTTTGCTAAAAACAGCAACACGGAGAAGTCAGAGGGCATAAAAATGTACAAAAGTGTGTGCTTGCCAATGCTGACCTGAATTTCCTCCTCCTCTATATTTAACTTTTCACTTTCAAGTAAAAGGATACATTTAAAGGATGGACACATTCAAAAAAACTTTTTCGGTCGACAGAATTTGGTTGAAAGAGAACAGTAAGAGACGCAGAAGGAAAGACGACGAAACGGGACAAAATGAAAGGAAGCAGAAAAGACAGAGGCACCAGAAGAGAAAATGAGAGAGTGGAGGAGTAAAAGATGAAAGACTCACTAAGAGCTTTGTCATTTTCTCTTTTAGACCCTGACATGAAGATTTGTGTCAACAGACTTCTGAGTAAAGGCCACTGAAAGTGAAAAGGCATTCGTTGTTGTACAACATCAATGATCTGCTTTCATTCAAATTTAGCCCACATTCTCCTGACCTTACTCTGTGGACCTGAAATGTATTTATTGTTTATTACACCAGTAATAAACAGTGAAAACATCAACATTCTATTCAAATTCGAAGCAACTTCTATTTATTTCTAAAACAGTGATGTTTTAGCTCAAGCTAATGTGGACATTTTATGTTTTTCTCCTCTTGTTCTACATTTTCCAGTTTCCATAGGAACCAGTTATAATTTGGATAAAAAATGTTTTAGAAATGTTTTGGTCTGTTTTTGTTTATATCTCTGGGCTAACTTAGTTTATCCTGTGGGTAAATTCTGTCATTCATTTTTAAGTCAGGTTTTTCTATAATTATTATGCTGTACATATTATATAATCATGTACATCATTTTTGGTTTACAAAATAGGTTTTAATTTGAGCCAATTCCACGCAAGGTTTTACTATTTCAAGTCAGCTTTAAGGCAACATTTGGGTTCTATGTTTTGATTGGAAATTTGTACACCTGTGTGCTAACTTGTTTTAATTGTTTTAACTGGTTTTTGCTTTTTCTATGCAACTTTTTCCAACCTAAACACTTGTGTGGCTAATTTTGTTTGAGTTTTTTTTTTAAATTTATTTAATCTTCAGTCTAACTTCTTGCTAATTATGGCTTCTCTTCTGAGATAATTATTACATTTTAATCAATGTAAAAATAATTAAAATAAATGTCAGATTCTTACATTTAAATTTAAAACAGGTACTTGTATATAAATTGTATACACCACATTTAGCATAAAGTTTCACTTGGTACATAGTATCGACTCCACTTCAATAAAGATGTTCTTCTGTCCAATGTACCAATAATAACATTTATATGAATTAATGATTTGCGGGTTTAAAACATAATGAAGATCCGTTTTGAATTTAAATGTTCATTTAAAGGAAACAGCTCTACTCATTAGCCAACGGTGCAGCATATTTTAATCTAAGTGTTGATTATAATCAGCGTATGTAATTGCTGCTGTGTTTGTCACGTTGTTTGCAGCAAAGGAGAGAAGTCACATGTTATCTCCTGTAAAGGTAACTGTTATATCCCTGTAATGGTCAATCCTACAGGGATCAGAGCCGGGTCATACTGTCAACACTGTTGAATTAAGACACTTCTGATACGATTTTTGTCCCTGCGACACCTGCTACCACGTCTGCCTGACAAACAACAACACCAAGAGGAAGTTTAATCATAAACCTGTCTGAAAATCACAGCCCCGGGGCCAACTGTAGCACTGGAACCATTTGATAAAACCCACAGAGGTAGGGTAGCAAGGTGACTTCAGCTAGCCTTTTTTTTTAAGCGGTGCAACAAATGCTGACAAACTCATCCACTGCCCCGAAAGCTTCATATAACACATGCCTCATAAACTGTTTTTTTAAAACCTATAATAAACTTACTGAATTTTTACAAGACGTCATTTAAGGTATCCCAAATACCCAAACTACTCCTTTTTTGTACATTTAATAGTCCCTGGGGCATTTTTTCTGGAATCTCTTTTAACCTGACAGTCATCAGAAGCTTCAGACTCGAGGAACTCCTCTGATAAACCAGGTCTGCAGCTCATTCAATCACATCAACCTTATGGTTGTGAGGGTCGCTGTTAAGGTCTTTATAATGTTTTTTTTTTCCCCCACCAAGCTCATAGAAACATGAAAGATGGACAAATACTGCCCTCTTGTGGCCATAGTGAGCAGCTCTTATTTCACGTGAGGCAGTGAAGCCTTCAAACAGACCAGCACTGCCCCCAAACACATGTAGCTGCAGCAGCGGGGCTAAAAGACATGATAACTCCTGTCAGCTTTGGCTTTATTAATGTGCGTGTTTGTGTGTGTGTGTTGGGAGGAAATGCCAACCTGCGGTTTGTCGATTGTAGACAGCATGTCTTGAACACGTTTCCCCTCTGAATCGTGATCTGAAGAGACAGAAACAAAGGAGAAAAAAAAAACCCAGAGTAAATATGAAGTCAAGGACAGACAGGGAGAGAGTGGCTTTCAAAAAAGCTGTTAAAGCTTTTAATCATTTAAAATACACGTCCCATTATTGTCCAGGTTCTCTGCCTACACATGCCAACTGCTAGCTGATGCCTTCGCTGATGCCTGTTTTCATACTGGGGCCATTTATAATGAGCTCATAGAGAAAGCAGAAAAATCTGTCTGATCATTTGAATTTAAATGTCGTACAGAACCCAATAATTACCATAAGCACAAGGATCCTGGAGTGACTTTTTTGGAAAAACACACACACACACACACACACATATATATATATATATATATATATATACACACACACACACACCGTTATCTGTGAATTAATACAAGGGAAAAAGAAATGGAAACATAAAAAGCTTTTGATGATCAGTCTGGTGGAAACATGATAATAATGATGTCATTGTGAGACAAATGAGTAAGTCCAGCATATTTGGCAGTATTTGTAAGCACTAATACATCAGTAAAAAAAAAAATATATATATAACAGCAGAAGCATCACATATGTAAAAAGAAGTGTCATCTGCATACAGTGTAATCAGTGCTGCTTCTTCAACTCTACAAATGATGTTCACGACTGAGGGAGATCGATATCAGAGACACAAATGCACAGCGTCTGCTCTCGTCCAATCATACGACATGGCCAGAAATGATTGAGGAGACCCATGGGATTGTTGCGAAACGGTGTGTGTATGTTATGACTTTCCAACTTGTCTGTTCCTGGAAGTTGAGATTTTCCAACCGGAGTAGAGAGATCTGCTTTCTTCATCTGAGTCTCACCACTGTAAATCACACAGGATGTGTGTGTGTGTGTGTGTGACTCTGTGTGTGTGTGTGTGTGTGTGTATCTTGCGTCTAAAACTAAGTTTGATGAGTTCAAAAACCGATAGAACAAAAATAATCACAAATGATCACCAGAATGACACACAAAAAAGATTGGCTGCAGACACGGCAGGTAAAAAAAAAAGAAAACACAAGATACAAAACCAAACTTGCAGAGGTGGAAAAAGTGGAGTGACAAAACACCGACACAGTGTGAGAGGAAGTTCTCTTCTCCAACTGAAGCCAAAATGTTCAGAAATGTAAAATGAATAAAAATGAATTCCATCCTTCAGTGGACACCGTGCAGAACAACAGACTGATGCAAATCTCCACCATCAACTCAGAATCAACACGTGTGATGGACATATTTAGGTAACTGTCGATAGAGTCTGTGTATGTGTGTGTGTGGGTGTGTTTCTTGCTAAGTCCCTTTGACAGATTCTGTACAGGAGCGGGCCTTACTGTGCCTGAGGACATACTTATGAGTCATGGCAACAGTGATGTCATGGAAGCACAGCCTGGACTTGACCCCTAGGTGTGTGTTCGGAAAAAGAGCAATGCAAATGAGATGAGACTGTGTGTCGATGGGTGATAAAGGGAGGATGAATAGGAGTGTGAGTGTGTGTGAGTGTGTGTGTTGAGTTGAGCCTCGGCGTCTCTTCTTTTTGTCAACATTTTTGTCGTCTTCACTCACATCCATTTGCACCAAACGCTGGCTTTTATTCCTTCACTTTAGGATAACAGCTCTCATTAGTTCCAGATGTTAGCAGCTGTCTCTGTCTCTGTGTCTCTCTGTCTCTGTGTCTGAATTCACTCCACACATCTCATCACAGCTGAGTGAGGCAGAGGAATATGGCCTGTTTACTCCTGCCGTAGTCCTGTAGCTACTTGTCAGGTGGAACACAGGAAAAGCTGAGGAGGAATTCCGTGACAGCTTCATTTCAGCTGTCACCATCGGCAAACAGCAGATTTGGAAAATCAAACAACAGCCAAGGATGATGAGCAGCATGATGGAAAATGAACTGGTTCAAACAGAAATGAGACAATCCTGTTTTTATAACCTGGCCAGAGCAGGGCGCAACCTTAGAGGAGCGCTGCGTGTCTGCTTTATGACTAGGAATACCTGGCGTTTCTGGGGTCATTTTTGGACAAATCTCTAGTTGTTTTCATCCATATTTGGAAAGAAATCCCTTTGACTTTGTTTTGTGTTTTCTGAGCCCTGCAGAGACCACAGTAAAAAGTGAAATAACTTCAAGAGCAATTCTGAAGAGCAACAAGTGCTGCTGCTAAAACCTTCAACTAAATCCAGTGGTTGCATTACTCTAATAGTTACGGTGCCAGTCCAATGAAGAGCAGTCCGACCAGCAGGCTTTGTTTGAGAAAAAGGTCAATATTTCTGCAGATTGTGTATAAAGTCTGCAAAACAGCGAGCTGTGAACCTTCAGCTTCGACCGTCTGTGGTTGAAGTGTCCAGCTGTTTTAGAGTTTAACAGAGAAAAGCTGGTGATGCTGACGGAAAACAGAAACTGAACCTGTGCCCAGTGAGACTTCATGAACACACACTGTGAGAGACACACACACACACACACTCTTCTGTCAACATTGTCCCTCACCTCCTCTCTCTTCTTCTGTTTATTTGCTACCCACACACCCTTACTTCCTCTCCTCGTCTGACCTCACATCCTGTCTGTCTGACCGCCTGTGTTTGATTACCGGGCACGGCCAGACGGAGAGAGGGAGGGAGCACAAACAGACAGCGGGGAAAAGAGGAGAAGGAGAAACAGAGGGGACAGTAGGAGGGAGAAGCAGCAGGCTGAAGGGTTTGAAGAGACAGACGCTGAAGATAAACTGCAGAGGGACGGAGAGGACAGACGAGGAGGATGGACAAGGGATTAGTGAGAGGAACTGAGCGTAAGGCAGGAATTTAGATGATAAGAGGAGGAGAGAAGGAGGGATGAAGGAGAAGTAGGAGAGGCTTATGATGATAAAAAAAAAACAGGAAATATTAGATGACATCATCAGCGGCCGCAGAAAGAAAAAAAAAACCCACAGCACTCGTCTTCAAAGGACATGCAGTTAAAACATACGCCGTCTTCCTCTCTTTCAGCGACTACACCAGTTCATTTCATTGACTTCAGCTCACTACAAGTCCACTCTGGAAATTTTGACATTTGGGCAAAGCTGTGCAGACTTAGCTCCTAGAAAAACAACTGACCTCAGTGCTTGGGAAAATGACACTCAGAGGCACAAATGAGAAACAAATTAAGGAGACGATGTAAATTGAAAGCAGACACGTCCAACATAAGGCCCCTGGGGATACATGGGGCACATGGACGTCTTTTATGTGGACCAAAATACAGTATCTGTTTTAAAGGTTATTTTCCTAAAGCACAGAGAGGGCTGAGAATAAAACTTAGCAATGATACATTTTTTACTTTTTCCCCCCTTATTTAGCCTACCTGAAATGGTGTCCCCTTATTTAGCCTAAATGGTGTCATTTGTTTAAAGGAAGAAATTTGAATTTTTTTACCCAAGTTTACTATAACATTAAGCTATCCTCTAGCCACACTGCAGCAACTTAAGCTAAAACTCTTGCTAATGTTAAGCTAATTTGGCTAATTTTTTACCCAAGTTTACTATAACATTTAGTTATCCTCTAGCCACACTGCAGCAACTTCAGCTAGGTTTTACCTACCTCAATACTAAATCTCATTGTCTTGCTAATGTTAAGCTAATTTGGCTAACTTATCTTACCTTAGTATTCTAGAAGCATTTTGGAGTTAGCTCTAATTTCTACCCATCGTTTAGCTATCTATTTGGGCTAACTTTAGTCATCATTCGCCCTGGTTAAGCTAACTATTGGTGGTGCAGTTTTAGTTGTGTTAAAACTACACTGAATTCAATGTATTAATAGAATCATTCTATTAATGGTCTTTTTAAATTATATAACATCTAACTTTTCCTGTTTTGACGAGCTAATAACTAGTTTGGTTGTTTTATAACTTTTTGCTAACTTGGCTAGCTTCAAGGCCTACCTGGCTAGGTGATATGATATATTTTGGATATTTGTTAGATTTTAATCAAAACTTTTTTTTAATTCTGTTGGGAGTTTAGTCACCTTAGGCAATTTCCTATCCACATTTTTTATTGAGAGAGCAATCTACCAAGTACAGTCACACAGTGAATGGCCCACAGGGAAAAAAAGACAACATGACCTGCTATTCTAAACCATGACCACCTGAAATGTTATTTCTCAGCCCACATGAACATAAAACTCTCCACAGAAGATGACAGGGTTTTTTTTTTTCTTAAAATATTACACAAGCCTGCACTCTTGGAAATTAATGGCGTCACTTTGCAAAGAATAGAAAAAAATATAAAAGTTCAACAGTAAA